TATATATATATATATATATATATATATCATAACTAGTAGTAAAAAAAAAGAAAGAAAGAAAGAGAGAATCCCAATAGACATTATGACAATTTATTTTTTGCATTAGTCGGAAAAGGAAAATCAAAAACAGAACACTCACTAATATTGTTATTAATAGTAATAGATTAACTTAGTTGTGCAATATCAACTTTAATGAGTTATATTATTTTAAGAGTGTGTAACAAAAAAATTAAAAATACTAGTAAACAATAATTTAGTATATTATATTAGAAGATTTTAATACTTAAAAATAAATATTAAATAATTTATATTTGTAATAAAATAAATATATTTTATTAATCACGTCCTTTTTATTTTCTTATATGATATTCTAAAGACACTTTTTTATGTAAAAAATAAAAGAATTCAAATTAAATTTTTTATTTACGATAATCGAATTTAATTTTAAAGGAATTTATAACACTCGTACATTCTACTTGACTAACTTTATTTAAAAGTTCGTTTCATACGACAAAAAAAATAGCAACTTAATATTTAATATATGTAAAATTGAAGTTAGATGGACTCAAATAAAGGTAAAACGAAAAAAAATTAAAACTTACCATTATTTTGGTAGATGGTAAAATTGAAATAAGCTGGGCTCATGTGATGGTAAAAGGAGAAAAAACACAATGAAATATGCATCCAATATAATGTAAAAATTCACTCATTTTTAATAAAAATGTATAATTTATTTTTACATGATTAATCTACAAATAAATAAAATAATATTTTTAATTATAATTTCATGTTCAAGTGAGAGATTAAACATTGATACTTAGTTAAAAACGCACAATGCCGAATCACTTATTTTTCTTCTACTCGTTACATTTTCATTTATATAAAACACATCTTATAGAAGTTAATCAGATGACATATTTGGTTACATGTAGCTTTTCTTGATGAATCATGTTACTATACATAGATTAAGGATTTTAACTTAATTAATCAAGTAGAATGTATAAATTATTATAAATCTCTTAATTCTAAATTTGATTATAATGGATAAAAACCAATTCAGCATGGGATTAGGATTCACCATTTAAAAGAACTTCTCAAAATATATATGGTAGGTCATTTGGGAATAGTAAAGAAAAGCAGAAAATGCAGTTGCTCCAGCATACAACGGTTTTGATACACAACAGTAAAATATCAGTCATTTTTTTTATTACCTATTAGATAAAAGTGGTTGTATGAGGTATACAAACATCAGTACAATGATGAATAAAACTTGACCCCATAACAATAGAAATATTATCCTGGAAAGTAGCACGCACAGTAAGATAGAAATAGAAGATAGGACGAAAAAAACAGTCGAGAGAAAATAATTAAAGTGATAAGTAATACGATAGATAAGGAAGAGAAAAATAGGAAAAATATAAATGAAATAAATGTAAATGAATGATTGTAAAAATTATCCTAGAAGAAGCAACCGACATTTTTTTTTTCACCCCAAACTAACATTTTCTTAGTTTAAGCAACCAAATCATCAATAACGTTGTGAAAATTACATTGATTTTTAACTTGAATTTGGTCACTAAATAAAAAATCAAAAACATTTTCATTTTTCATCAAACTACTTTAGTTAGTTTGAAATAAAACAAAACGCAGCAGTTCATTCGACATTTGTGACAGCATGCATGTTGAGCATGTTGACAGAAAGGAAAATGGGAATACAACATTGTCAGCTGGAAACTAGGAAAAATAGACTGAACTTGTTATGATGAGCTCATAAATAAATGGAAATTTTGGTACATTCAAAATCCACCTACGACGTGGTGACGCCTATCTAGCTACTAAAAAAGAGTACATTGCCGTAAATTCTACAAAAGGCAAGGCAAGGCAAGGCAGGGATTCAACGTATGCTGCTATATTGGCCATCACGAATTAGGCACCACGGGCCATTTTCATTCTTGGCATTGCCTTCTTCATTTGACGAGCACGCTCTTTTGCTTCTTTCTTTCTAATAGCCTCTGCACTCAGCTTTGCCTCAGCCTCCTCCATCATCTTCTTCCTCTCTGCCTTTCTTCTTTGCATCGCCTCTTGTTGGGCATTTCGAAGTTCTTTCTGTGCCTCTTGAGCAGCCTTTTGTCGTGCAGCCTCTGTCTTAGACCGAGCCTGAATTATCAACAAAGGTCAATCAAGGATCAAGCACATCAAGTTCATAAATTACAAGCCAAACATAATAAGGTAACATGAGCCCACCTGAGAACTTAATTTATATCTTCCGATCAAATCAAGAGAAGAGATCATCTTCTTCCTCTCTGCCTTTCTTCTTTGCATCGCCTCTTGTTGGGCATTTCGAAGTTCTTTCTGTGCCTCTTGAGCAGCCTTTTGTCGTGCAGCCTCTGTCTTAGACCGAGCCTGAATTATCAACAAAGGTCAATCAAGGATCAAGCACATCAAGTTCATAAATTACAAGCCAAACATAATAAGGTAACATGAGCCCACCTGAGAACTTAATTTATATCTTCCGATCAAATCAATATAATATGGAACAAGAGCCACCAGTCGAGACATATCAGCCATGTTCTTAGCAGCTGGAAGCACAAACTTGAACAACAATACCTTCTTGTGTACACCAGGGTGCTGGTCGGAGAAATGCAATGAAATTAAACCTTTTCCAAATTTCTCAAAAGCTTTCTCACCAAAAACCTGCAGCATATCAATAATAAGCTGATTTTGAGCCCAATAAATAAATTTTAACTTTGACAGGAGAAACTATCCAGACGAAACAACAACCACAATTTGCATAATATTACATGGTCATGAATATGATTTCATGCATTAAATGAAGCCAAATGCTGGAAAATCACCTGAATTGCAGTCATCCCTAACCCACCTTTGGAGGGGGAGGCTTATAATTTGAAATAAAGACCTAACTCAATCTTACAAAAATCAGTTTATAAGATAAGAACTGTTTAAACTTTATAACCTCTATTTAAGTCACACATATTTAGTTGATGTGAGACTAAACACCGCCCTTGTGACTGCAATTAAGGTCACATCTAAGGCAGAATAGGGGTGACTACAATTAAGACGGCTTTACAAAGTTCCTTTTCTTACAACTCCATATGTAATGAAGCTACTTATCAGCAAATTAAAACACTTGTTCCTGGTCGGGGCACATATAATCATATATGGCATCAAAAGAATATGTAACTATGAACTATCAATGTAAATAAAAAGAACTAAGGAAGAGGATGCCAACTTGTATTAGAGAAACAACTATGTAATGTGCTGAACACAATAAATAATGCTTCTCCAAAAGTCATTAAACATATAAATATTACTCCTTATGGTTCTTTATATAAGAAACAAATAACTAATTTATCAAAACCAATAAAAGTAGTTAAGATTGATAGTTTTCATTAATAATGTAGTAGAATTAAATTCATTCCAAAAATACCCTTTGAATTGATTAGTTTAAAATTTAAATAGTGATAGCCTTAAATGATACTACACCTAATTCAAGAGATAACTTTTTTCCACCAATGAATGTAACTTGTATTTTAAACACAAATTTTGATACTACACCTAATTCAAGAGATAACTTTCTCAGCAAGTGAAACAATATACACCCCAATTTAACAAGTGTACAGCCCCTCAAAAGATCTTCATTGATATCTGGTAGCATTTTAAACCCAAATTTTGATAAGTGGTGTAAATGATGCTGTGTGTTATAAAATGTTTGTAAGAGGCCTAAAGGTCACATTGCTGATGTAATTTATCGGCCTCCCATTCCAATCTACGAGTATAACCAACTTCAACTTCTTTTTATAGAAATTCATGGTTTTGTTCACGTTGAACACCAATTGGCTGACAACATTGGCCAATCTCTGACATTTGTTAGCAACTCAATAAGACATCGAAGGATTATTTGACCAGTTTCAATGATGTCTTAGTACAGGTTAGGAATTTGAACGAGATGTTTGTAGTGGCTTTCATGAAGTGCCTGTCTGTAGAAAATTCAATGACTTTAAGCTTAGCACACAAGAGAGCAACCATGGCGGACGAAATTGGATTACAGACAACATGTTACATAGAAGCCGATGAGGTTGTAGTGATGAAATGGGAACAAGACGAACCACTGATCAAAAGAAAGAGAGACCGAGGACCCTCAAACCTTTAACCTCCCGACGACTGTCCCGAATCAAATTGCCAGTTGCCATTATACATTTTAATCTCTTTCTGCATATGATTGATTTGTAACAAGCTTGGTAAGCTTCAAGCTTGAGAGGGGTAGTAGAATATATGGGATTAGTTAATTTATGTATAAGCTAATTTGTAACTTTTTGGAAAAGCAACCTTCTAAAAATTAACCAATGAATAAGCTAATTTTAATTTATGAAAAAGCTTATTTCAGTTTTTTTTTTCATATTTTTTTCCTCCTAGAAGTACTACTTCTGGACAAGTTTATTCATCGATGCCCATATACGAATATCATCTCTCTTAAAGTATCCTAAATCACGCTTTAGGATTTGTTTTCCTATTTCCCATTATCACTTATGATTGGCTACCCTATTTGATATTTCTATATCTACAGGGACATAACACATTCTTAACCCGGACATGAGGAGAATGACTAAAAAATTTCAATTAAGGATAGTGAAAGGCGTGCACACAGGTTCAAATCCATATTGCAACATTGATGAAAACAAAACATCCATAAAAGAAGATGAATAGATGAGAAGGGAACCTGATCAATGACAGCATCGGTGACGAAATCAGCAGCAACCTCCTTAGACTCAGAAATAACAGCGAGGTCATCAACAACCCACTTCCTGCCAGTGGGAGGAGAAAGAACGTTGGCAAACCTCTGCAAATCCCTAACATCCTTGTGCATAGCTTTAGCGGCCTTCTTCTTAGCCAAGGCGAAAACGACATGATCCATGGCGTCGTCGTTCATGAAAACCTCGAAAGAGATCTCGTCCCTGCAAGGCACGATCATGTTGTAGATCCTCGCAATGAGATCGTGCCTGCTCTTCAGCTCCAGCGTCGCCAGCAACCCCTGGCAGAACCTCCTCCCGCTCGCGTAGAACTTGAACGTCGTCTGCCCCTCCTTCAGAAGCAGCGGCGCGTCGTCGCCGCCGTCGCCGATCCCGAGGAGGCTGAAATTCTTCTCGAAGATCGAGTCCTTGGCGGCGAACTGCGCCGCCCAGGAGAGCGCGATGTTCTCGTTCTCGCGCTTGCCGGTGAAGTAGTTGACGGCGAACATGACGAGGAAGGCGCCGCAGAGGATCTCGACGGTGAAGGAGCGGGGGGCGGGGGGTGTGGCGGCGGCGGGGGGAGGGGTTGGGGCGGCGGTGGCGTTTTCGGGTTTGGGATCGGCGGGAGGGTGGTCGGCGGGGACGCCTTCGAATTCGTCGTCGTCCCAGAAATCGAAGGTGGTGGGCGGATGTGGGCTGGGGAGATGGGAGGGCGGAGGTTTGGGCGTGGGATCGGCGAGAGTCGTAGGGTTTGAGAGAGGCGGTGATCGGAGAGACGCTGGATCGATTGTGAGGTCTTCGATTTCATCTTCTTCTGCTTCGAAGCCTTCGAAATGCGAATCGGCGTTTACGAGTGCAAGGAAGAGCGAGAATATGCAGAGGATTGAGAAGAGACTTGGATTCGCCATTCACCTTCACAATTCACAATTCACAATTCACAATTCACAATTCACAATTCACAAACCCAATACAACACACATAATATAATAGACTTAGTGGTTGGAGTTGGATAAATGTATGAAAAATTGATAACTTAATTTTGATATTTATCTTCCTCGTTATATTATTTCTAATTAATAAAAAACAATTAATTTATTATAAATTTTAGTTATATATAATAAACAATTAATTTGTAAATACATAAGTTAAAATACTATATATATATTTTTTTTTAATAATTAATAACATTAAAATAAATTATTAATAATTAAAATAATTTTATTTTATAATTTACAATATACTGTATTTATTTATATACACAATTTATTAAAAAATATTTAATATAATCAAATTATTTCCTTTAAACTTGCATACTGAATTAAATTCCTTTATTTCTTAGCAAATTTAAGAATATTAATTTATTATTCTTTCTCCCATCATGATGATAACAAATTATTAATTTTCTATTTCTACCATTGACTGAACTTGCAAAAATTAAAATTATAATCCGGAAGGAACTATATTGAATTCAATTAATTTAAGTCATGCAAAAAAAAAAGAAATGTTATTAAAAATGAGACTTTATACTAATAATATAGTCATACAAAAAAAATAATTAATTCATCTAATCAAAGTTAACACACTAATGTTCTTTATTATATATATGAAAATTGTTAACATACTCACTTTTTTTTATAGTTGGAATATGTTAAGATTTATATAAAAATTTTAGGAAGAAAAAAATATATAGCATCATCTGATTTGTGTTAGATTTGTAAGGAGGATATTATAATAAGCTTGATCATTATATATTCTGTCTTGGTCCCATTGCATTGCGGATACATTCACAAAACCTTAGTGGCCATAGCAAATCAAACATTACAAAGTGAATAACCCTTTTTAAGTTTTTACAAAGTGAATTCCCTATGTGTCAAACAAATATAATACACTCACCAGAATTACATAGTTTTTGGCAAGGATTGAGAACCACAAATATGGAAGTTGGAAGATTGAGAAGGTTGTCTTGTCTTAGACTGAATGCATCACAAAGTAAAGAGAAATTGGAAGAAGAATCCCCCATGCCTTCCAAATATGATCCTTTTCCTTTCAACATTATGCTAGTGTCTCATTCCTCCTAAACGGATGAAATCATCATTTCTTTGCTGCATCAAATTCAAAAAGACTAAAGAAACAACATTCTATTAATTCCTAGGAAAATAGGAATCATCACAATCACAAAACTTCACAACAACGAATTAATCAACGCATGAAAAAATTGCTTACTGATATAGCCACTCAAAGAGAAGTACACATATATTATATGAGGAAATGAAACTTACAAATTTTTTGCAACTATTAGCCGTAGAGTTTTTGCAAATATCAGTAAATGACTAAATGGTTAAATGCTATTCTGACCTAAATCTATCGATACATTTTGCAACTTACAGTTAATATTAGCATAAGTATTCATTTTCAATCCCAATAAAGCTTTTTCTAATCATTCTGCAAATGGACGGAGTTGTAGAGACATAGATAATGTGGCCAGCAATGTGAAAGAAGAGAAAAATGAGTTGGAAGAATATATATATATTATTGTTATTTGTTATATAATTTTTTATAATTATAAGTTGATAAAATATATTTCAAAACCAAAAGATGATTAAAAAAAAAGTTTAGTAGTCATGTAGAATCAATAAAAGTTTTTATACGGTTGATCCATAAAAAATCATTATTAATTAATTTTTAATGTGTTTATTGTACGTAAAAATATATTTCCAAATCAATGTCAATATCCCCTCTCATTTTTAGCCGAATGAGTATTTCTAAAGTTTTTTAAATATTACCTAAATCTTAATATATTCATACAATGCATTATGCACCTACTTATTTTTAGTCCCTTTATCCCTACTATGCAAGCAATTTACAAAATAAATAAATATCTTTGTAAAGAAACTATTTTCAAATGCAGTGTTGAACAAGAAAACCATCTAAATCAATTAGAATCGAATATGATTTATCTCTAATTTTATATAATTTTATACCAGTTCATGTAAACTTTTATTAAGCATAAAAAAATCTGATTGTAATCTCACTAAAAATTCTCAAATAAATTAGTTATTATATGTAATATTATATAAGATTATGTTTTATCTGAATATACATCTTTTTGTTTACTAAAAAAAACAATAAAAACATATATAACTATTATAAATTTATAGCTATTATAAAAATAATAATTCATTTTCGTGTACCCATTTATTTTGACGATTATACCCCTTAACAATAATATATTTGTTTTTTTTTTTTTGAAGAGCTGAGCCTTAGCTCAATTCATTAACAATAAGAGAGAAGATACAATTTGGGATATATGCAAAATCTTTAAGATTAGCATAATATTTGGAGGCCTTTGCAAGGTTGGCAGCCACCAAATTAGCTGATCTATGGGTGAAACTTACATTAAAGTTGGCACAAGAATTTATCTTATAAGAATTTATCTTATTTCTACAATGGTTCATAATGCCACTAAATTCAGTTCTATCCTTCAGGTTGGGATGAAGGAAAAAACTTTCAATTCTGCTACTACTGGACTCGAAGAGGATGGGCGAATATTGATTTTCCGAAGCCAAAATGATGGCTTGCATGAGAGCAATAACATCTCTAATACTGGCAGGAGGAAGACCAGGGATCTTGAGGGTACGTGCACCCACAAAGGAACCCAAGCTGTCTCTAATGCAGAAACCGATTCCAAATGTATTCTCATCAGGGTTAGGGAATGTGGCAAAATTGCACTTGTATGAACCATGGGGTGGGGGAGACCATTGGGTAGTTGAGGTGGGACCAGGAATACCTCTAGCATCAAGAGGCCGATGGTTAGCCAAAGTCCAATTTTGTCTAGAGTTACGGGCACGGTGGACAATTTCCGATATATTCCAAGGTATATCTTTCCATAGGAGATTATTCTTGCTAGTCCAGATACTCCACATCATCATGCAAAAGTCAGCCGCATCAGAATTGGACTAATCATTTGCAAACGTTATTTACCTATTCTAATCCAACCATCAGCAGAAATAATTTATTTTTTGTTTGGCTATGCTACTGAATGATTCATCATGTATAAACTATATATACACCAACACCAACCTACAAGGATAGAATAATAAATGTGTAACAAAAGCAGCTACCAATTACCATCACATCTCTTCTATTCCTCTCTAGACAAGGACATACCCATATACCAGATCCTAATTTTTAGCTCTTTTGATCTATCCTAAACTGATTCTGTAATTAAAATGCTTGATTCAATTCCTCTGTTTATTTTTTTCAAGTCTTGCATTTTCCATTTGCATTTGAATTTGTGTCATCTCTTAGAATTACCAAAGGAACAATAACTGGAGTTTGATTAAATTCACTGACATTGATTTAGTGGTGATGGAAGATTAGAATTCCTTCCGACGATGTTTTTAAGTTTAAATCTCATGGGTGTTATTGAACATACACCTAAAACAAAAGAGGATTTTGATTGAGATCAGAAAAAACATATGCAGTGCAATCATCTGAATATGAACGGTTAAATCACATTGTTAAAATCTCTTGGGTGACACCTACATATATAATCAGATTATTAATAATCTTCCATTACTCTAAACCACACAAAGTGAGGTTTCTCGTCCAAATTGTCGCTAGATAACGAATAACTCATTAGGCTTGAATATCTAATTTAAGAAAAACACTACGGAACTAGTTAGGGTGTAATAATTTCAAAGTTCAACTAATAATTGATTTGTTAATTAACTGAATTCTTTCTCAATGCTTTTGTTTCTTCTTTTTTTCATTCTTATTATTACCGAGAGGTACAATTCACTTTTATTGAATCAACTCATTATAAAAATGAAAACAATACTTTTCATTATCTCTTAATATTTAAGTCATCAAAAATTAATCTTTACTTATTAGTTAAGAAATACATATAGTAAATCATTTTTCCAACATTTTTTTGTGATAAACAAAAAAATTACAAGATAACGATGAGAACCGTACCAAGTGTTATTTTTCTTAATGCATCTATCTCAACCATCACAGTTCACAACCATATATACCCATTTTAGTGGTTCATTAAGATTAAACTTTAATTAGAGAAGAATAGTATTTAATTTGCATCAAAGTGAAGTCTAGATGAAAGAAATTAATGATGGGAGTAGTTAGTTTGGAAGTGATGTTGAAGCAAGAGAATATAATGTGTTATATATGTCTTAGGCTTGAAAAAACAACATACGATGATGTCTTTCTTTCAGTCTATGTTGCGAAGGTCTCTTCCTAGCTCCCATATTGAAGTAGAAGCAAAGAAAAGATCACCAAACCAACCAATTATGATCCTCAAATATGGCACTCCAAAATTGTTGTGACACATGAACCATGGAGATGGAACCCCAACACGATTTCACCTCCACCGTCGACACGTCTCGCCCCTTCACCTCCGTCAAAGAAGCCGTCGCCATATTCGGCGAGCGCCTCCTCCTCGGAGAGATCTACTCGCCCAAGCCCTTCTCACCGGACATGTACACTCCAACAACAAAGCGAGAACCGTCGTGGAGGCTCTCACCGCCGCCGGAGAACAGCAACAACGACCACCTCGTTGACGTGATAAAGAAGCTGGAGGCGGAGCTTGAGCAAACGAAGATGGAGCTGAAGCTGCTCAAGGAAAGAGGGAGCGAAACGGAGGTGGCGTTGGCCACGCTCAACGCGGAGCTTCACAAGAACATGTCGAAGCTCGCTCAGGCCGAGGCTGCCGCCGCGGGGAAGGCGGCGGCGGCGACGACCAAGACGGTGAGGTTTGAGATGGTAGAAGATGAGAAGAAAAAGGAAGAGGTGGTGAGTGTGGGTGACAATGACATACTTAGTCTTGGTGAAAACGACCATCTTTTTGGAGGGAAAGAGGAG